TGGGGCTCTGAGCAGCCTCATCTAGTGGGGGTTGTCCCTTCGCATGGCAGGGGGTTTTGAGCTAGATGATCTTTAAGGTCCCTTCCAACCCTGACAATTCTATGATCCTCTCTTGAAAGTTCCTTCTTCAATTCCCAGCCCTTCAAAAGGAGATTGTCTGAATTAAATTGCAATGGTTGGAGGACAACCTCCTTTTCATTTATACTTTGTTCAAATCTGAACACAAATTTAAAAGTGTAGATAACCAACTGTACTAAACCCCTCTGATTATGAAGTTTTTCAGGTGCTGTATTTGCATTAAGCCTTCTAAAATGGAAATCATAGCAGTGTTTCCTTACCTTCAGATAATCCCACAAAATTCGTATCTTTCTTTCTCTTGACCTTTTTACTGACAGACTTCAGTTGCTTATCATTGTTTGGGTCTGACAGAAATGAAAAAAAAAACATGAATCAATCCTTCATTCTCATACCAGGTGCTTAACTTTAAAAAGTTTAAAACATAGTACATAACCAAACCCAAGATTTCTTCAACCAAGACAATTAAAAATTGTTCAGTAGTGTGCCATTCTGTATGCTTTTCCGCCACAGCACCAAAAAGGAATGAAGCATGATACTGAGATACATAAAGTACAAAGGCTTAAAAAGCAGTTGTTATGTAAACTCTGAATGTCTGCTTGGTATGTTTGGTGAAATAATAATCTCATGAAAGATTAATGTCTTAACAGCTGTATGAATAGTTTACTTCCTCCACCCTCAATCATCTTCCTGTGACCTTAAGTTATTAGTTGAAATTTGTGCTTTTCCAGCCACATAAGGTGTTTACCATGTGAACTGCTTTTCAGTTGAAAAACTAATGAAATCATACAGGTGCAACAATCACTTATTATTACAGTGGCAATAAAAACTTGAGTGCATAGCTCTATCAGAAGAGCAAGCTGTTACTTATGAGACAGCAATTTAATAAAAGTTACCTCATCTAAAAAAAAAAAAGCATTTACTAAAGAAATAAAATTACGGTGTTTCAGATTTTTTTTTTCTCTTTGAGATATTTTAATACTTCTGCCTCCTGTATCAATTTTTTGTGTAAAAAGCCACTTGCTTCTGCCAATGTTTTCTGGAATGAAAGAAACATGTCTTGTTTGCAAGTTTTTATACCAGGATGCCTATTTCCCACTCTCACCTAGGAGACTGCTGTCCAGAGAGGGACTCGTCACCTTTGCCTTAAACGCCAAAACTCCCACCTAGGCAACTGTATCTAAATTTATATTTATAATTACACAGCAGATAACCTTTTTAAAAAAATTTTCCTTCTTGTTTTTTGATAATAAATGGTACTTTACCTAGGCTGTTATCGTCATCAGACACATCCATAAATACACCTCCCTCTTCATCCATATCCTCTGCAAAGTCGTCCTCCATACTTCCTAAGGAGACTTCCTCATCGTCCAAATCACTGAATTCATCTTCATCATCAGAATCGTCCCAGTCAGCACTGGATTCCTCACTTCTTTGGCCTTTCTTACCACCTTTGGTCTTTTTTATATTGCTAAAAAAAAGTACGTAACAAGCTTAGCACTTTACCTGGCAAAATACTGCTTGGATCTACCTAGGAGCAAACACGGCTAAAAGACTGCAACATCATTGCAAACTACTGTCAGCCTAGGCCGAGACCCAAGAAGTGTGTATGAGGCACTCAGGTATGTCTTCAATATCAGCACATAGAGCTGTATTATAGAAGTCAACCATTGTAAGAAACTGGAGAATATGCTATTCTGAACTTAACAGAAATGTCAGCTTCAGTATTTTACCTCCTGCGTGCCTGTGCTCCTTTTCAAAGTCTTTTCTGTAAAACATGCAAACTGCTGGTATCCCCAGCAACTCTACTAAAGGAACAAATACGACTTTTTTTTCTTAACAAAGGAAACACAGTTCTTCATGTACTACGTGTTTACTTGGATTTTTTTGTCTCCTTTTTGCTATTTTTTACTCATACCAGTCTAGATCACAAAAATGTTCAGGTTTCACTAGGAAAGTTTAAGTTTTAATTCTCCTTTCCTCTCAAGAAAAAAAGTTTCTGTGCTGATTCAAAAGCTTTAAGTAAAAAAGAGGCTACTTAATCATTCATGGTTGGACTCAATGCTCTCAAAAGTATTTTCCAACCTAAATGATTCTATGATTAATGAAACTGCATACTTCCTAAGAATTAACCTCTGTAATACCGATTCCACAAAGTTTATTTACCACGTTAAGTCCAGTTACAACCAGTCCTTACAGCAGCACTACCACTATACCTCATTCTGCTTACTTTTGTACTTGGTAATTCTCAAACAGAAACCTGAGATGATGAAAAACACGGAAGATTTTACTTTGCTTGCTGGGTCACTGCATTGTATAAATAAAATGCTACAGGTCTCACATGTCAAGCCATCAGACTGCAAGAACCACAGGATCATGATGCAGAAAAGCCGCATTAGCCAGCTTGCAATTGCTACTGCCTTTATTGCAAGGTCATATTCTGAGTCTTTTTGAAAAAGTCTATCCAATTTTGCAGACTAAAACTCGATATAGGTATTTAAATGAGATCAAAGAACCAATTTAAATTCTTACCCAGCAAAATCAAGGTCATCTTCACCAACAGCAATGGCATTATCAGCAGCTTCAAATGTATCTAGAGGGAAAAAATGCTTTATTAATATAAAACAAACCAAGAAAGATGAAGTCATTGCAAAATATATTATTTTTAGGTATAATTTTCCTCAACAATTTCTATGATCTGCATCAGTAAAGCAAGGGGCCCTGGTACCAAAACCATTTATACTCTTATAGAAAAACACTCCATTAAACAGTCACCTAAACTTTTTCTGAAAAACATATTTTCTTTGAAAAATACTGAAAGCTTTCTTCTATCTAGGATGTAATTTCTGTCCAGAACCAGATGATGTGGGAAGCAGACAGACACAAACAGACACCCAATTGCCCACTAATTCAAACTTGGTTGGCAGGTGACGTATCACAAGTCTCAAACACTTGCTCCAAGTCAGAGAGAGCAAAGACTCAATTAACAAACCCCACACAAGTGTATAGTTATTAACAGATACAAAATTAACAGATTAGTGCCAGCTAATCTATTAATTTTCAGATTAGAAGTATAATTTTTGACAGAAAAGCAAGTAGACTAGAGGATGAAAGCTCCTATCATCATATTCACTCAGGAACAAATTGCTATATAAAATAGCAGGTAAAACCACAATCTGAAAAATTACAACTGTTCTGCTTCAAAGAATAAATGCTACCATTAGAAGATCACAGAATCACAGAATCACAGAACGTTAGGGGTTGGAAGGGACCTCTGAAGATCATCTAGTCCAACCTTCATCCCAGCATACCTAACCACTACACCATAGCCTCAAGTGCTAGATCTACTTTTTTTTTAAAGATCCTTAACTGAAGCTTCTAAATTTATTAAGCAAATTCTCAGAGACAATGAGGTTATTAGAGACTAACAATAAAATGCAAACACAGTTAGTAATGGATTCTTGTCATCATTAAGACCATACTAACTGAGCCAACAAAGGAAGAATCCTGCAAAGGGAGTTCAGAATTCTCTAAAAAAGTTATGGAGAGCTAACTGGATTTTGTTTTTTTTCAGATACACATATTACTGTGTAATTCAAATGTGAAATAATAAAATAATGTACATTTTATGTTACACTAACAAATTTAGATTCTGGAACAAATCATACACTAATTGCAAAACAAAGAAAGTACATGTCACAGACAGAGCTAAGACTACTGCAGAAGTTTGCCAAGGACCTAAATGAACAAATAACCTCATGAAACATGTAAAGAACAGTGAGAGGAACTGTAAGGAAGACTGAAGAAGGCCAAGTAGTAAAGAAAGAATAGAAGCAAATGTTATATGCTGTTACAAAAAGTTATTTAACTCTCAGGCTACACTAGGAAAAGAGGAAAAAAGACATCAACTGCCACTCAAGAGCTTATTGTTCAAATTCAGACTATTTCCAGTCATTCCAACGAGCTGAACACGGCTGGAGCCGTGAGAGCATGACCTCGGTTGCGAGATGGCAGTCCAGCTGCCTTATGTGGACAGCACGAGCTGCTGGCTGCAGCAGCACAGGACGGGAACTGGAAAGTTGGTTTTCTTCCACTTCTATATTCCTGTATCTGGCTCTGTTATACAATATAAACTATGAAAAGGATACATTGATAACTTGCAAAAGCAGGAAATACTGAGTTAGTTACTGCAAAGCAAAACACAACCTTACCCAATGCTCTTTCAAATTCATCATCATCTACATCTTCCACGCTTTCTTCATCATCCTGACGCTTCTTTTCTTTTCTCCTCTTATCGAACTTTGAATAAAATCTGAAATAACATATTGCTCTCAAACACAAAATTACAGTTCATGATTGCTATGACAATTTGGTTGTGTTTTTTTTTTAAAGGCACCTACAGGTTATTTTGTATGATTTTTGCCAGTTGAAAATTGTAAGTAATGGTTTCAAACACATGCCAAATCAGATTTATATTTTCTTTGCTTTTCAAAGAGGAAGGCACTACTGTAAGATTTAAACCAAAGAAATTTCACAGCTAAACGTAGCAGAAGTGATTTTGAATGTAATGACTTTATAAAAGGACACAAGAAAGATGTGAAAATCCGCTTTATCCAGATAAGGAAGAAAAGATCAAGTCACTAAGTTCTGTTAAATTTTGCCTTGTAGCCACCCTCTTTTGTGTCCTTAATTTTACCTTCTGTCAGGCATTTTAAACCACTTTCTCTCCTTTGTTTCACGTTAAAGAATGACAGAACACAACAGGCAAATTTGATCATATACAAAAGCAAAACAGAATAGTACTTCATATGGAAGACTTTACATGTGTAATCTCAGTTTCAGTCATCTTCAATGTAACAATACTTTGAACTTTTCAGACAGGAGCACGTTTTTAAGTTGCTTTTCTTTACTCTCAAAATTAACACCACTATTTTATCAGTTTATTAGTCAATATCGCAACAACATTATTAATTTTGATTAATTGATATTACAAGTTCCAATAACCTGATACTTCAAAAATTTTTAAAAGCCCCTACAACATCTAATATATTAAACAAAAAAATAAAAGTGAATTAGGCAAAATAAACAAACACTGATCTCCTAAGGCGACAGTATTTTAATAAGGTAACCAGTATTTTGATTTAATAAGAACAACTATTTCCAAATGTGTACCACTTCAGTTTTAGTATTACAACTGTATTCTTCTATCATAATCTCAAAGGAAAAGCAACTAAATGGAAAGAACTACGACTATCGAAAAAATACAGAGAAAACTAGCTCCTCTGACTTCTTTAGCATTGTTCCATTCCAATACGCTTTGATGCTAGTTACATAAGCAAGGTATACTCTAGGTTTTTTTAGATACAGTACTAGAGTATAAGAATTACAACCCACAAGACATTCACCATTACTTATTGTTTAAGGCCTCTATTATATGTCAGCTTACTTGATTGTAGACTACAAGCACTGATTGCCTTTGTTCATAAGTGATATTCTTTCTTAAGCACCTGAGACAAATGTTGAAATTTTCTTCTAAGGAACATGCTATCATCACAAATCACTCAAATTTTTCAATTTTCCAAACACTTGGAATACCAGAGAACACTTATGAAATGTAATGGCTTTTGATGGCACTGCATGAAAAACCAACACTTAAAATTAATATTCATAAGTATGTCATTACCTGTGAAAAAACACTTCATCCACTGGGATTTTGCTCTCATCTTTGGCACAAAATTCCTTACTGTTGACTGCAAAAACAAAACCAAACTGATTTTACCTCAAGCTGAAATTATTATTCTTTTAAAAGGTGAGACAGCAGGCACAGACAGAAGAAGTACGCAGATACACAGCATGATCCATTAAAGTGGAGCTCATCTCAAAACTTCAAACCAACAGTTCTCAGTGCATGTACTGATACTGGATGTAAGCAGGTCCCATGGAAAAACTGAAGAGACATAGCTCTAACCACGTTCTAACTTATTTTGC